TCCAGCCGCGCCTGAGACGATGCCGCAGGAGGGTGACTGCGCTGCTCTGCTGCCCCTCGCCTCCCTCGCTGCTCTGGGCTGGCGTGGCGACTAGGAAATAACGGACACAGAGAGAGGTACCTTCACTTTTGAGTTGCTCGTCCCTGGGTGCCTAGCGGTGCCCAACGACCTATGAGAGCGGAATTAGGCCAGGCTAGCCTGCCTGCCTGGCTGGGAGCCCACTCTCACGCTGCCTACGCTGGTGCTGGCGCTTGGCAGGTCATGGGTCCAAGAGGACAGAAACGCCGCCCGCCCTGCGCAACAGAGAGCCACCCTGGGAGCCTGGTGCCTCCACCCAAGCCCAGTCTGCAGACAAAGGCAGAAGTGAAGGGACTGGGGGAGTCAGGAGTGTGGGTTGACATCTGTGCTCACCTGGCAGGGAAGGACAGACCTGCAGCCAGACTGGTGAACTCAGGAGCTGGGGGCCAGAGGGCAGGGACCAGGGCAAATGACCCCAGGAAGAAAGGGGTTTAACTCGGGAGTGGCAAGCCTAGGAAGGACCTGGAAGCTGGTGGGCAGGGCACACACTGGCTGCACCAGGCCCTTGTCTCTCCTGCCCCCAAGGACACCCTCGTGCTTCCTGCTGGTGGGTTGGCCCTGACTGGGGAGGACAGCAAGGCCCGGAGCTGGTTGTGCCCCAGAGCTGGGTTGTGCCCCGTTGTCTATCTGGCTCTGCAGGGATCACTGGAGAGGCGCCTGTGCTCAGCTAAAGCTCTCCAGGTATCGGGAAAGGAGTGGATGAGGCCCCCATGGGGGCGCCCTCCCATACCAGCCACAGGGATGGGACCTTCTCTTGATGCTTAGCCCTTGTGCTAGCCTGAGAGAGCTTGGGAGGGCACAGCATGGGCCTGAGCCCAGGGCTGGAGACCAGGGATACAGAAAGCATCCCTAACCTGGCTTCTCAGAAGGGAGACCCAAGGGTGCTTTCCTTGGCTAGGAGGCTCCAAACCCAGCCTGCACTCAGTGGGCCTTGCTGTGACACTTCCTTCCTCTCCCTCCGGGCCCTAGCTGTGCTGACCTGATTTTCTGCTCCCTGGCCCTTCCCATCTCTCAGGCCGTTCTTATCAGTGTCTACCATGGACCCTCTCCCACTAAGGCCCATGGCTGGACTGCAGCAAGTGGACCTGCTCCCTGCAGCAGGCAGGGGGATTATGGTGGGGGTACAGACTGCCCCCTGGCCTCACCTCTGCTCTAGTGAAAAGGGCCCCTCCAAACTGTAGTCACCGGGACAGGAATTATCTAGAGCCAGAAGAGCAAAATTAGTGTGGCCAAATGACTTGAAGGGTGGCACCTATTGCAGAGCTGGGTAGGCACCCCAAAACAGGGAGGAAGACAAAAGGAGATGATCCTCGAGAGCCAGGGCTCACCCTCCAGCCTCGTGGCCACCTCCAGATGCAAGACACTGGGGCCATCACCTGCCTCTGACTGGGAAGTGGCAGCTCACCGCACTGGCAGGAGCTGCCCTCTCCCCTCAGCCTGGGCAGTTGTAGACTGGCGACTTTCATAACTTTGCAGCTCCTGGGACTACGACCTGAGTGCCCAGAGAGTTCCAGAACTTTATGCAAGTCCAGGTTTCGTTCAAACCACCCGGATCAAGTCCAGGCTGACTGCTGAGCGCTTGTTCGCTTGTTTGCGGGGAGTCATGAGTCTAGGCTGAGTGGCCAAAGAAAATAGTCCGACCGTCACCCCACCCCCATAGCAGCGACCCACCAGGGCCTAAATGGGGAACACGCCAGCAGTTGTGTGCTCATTAAGTCGGCGAGACCTGAATTGTTTTTAAAAGTTCATGTCTAAAATCAAGTCATGACATTTATTTATTTTTCCTTTGTCCAACAGAAATAAATTTAGTTTTGTATAAGAGGGTGACTAAATCGTGAATTAAAATGAAATAATCCTCATCCTTAATTAAATGATTGTTTCCTCTGAGTTCAACAACGTTGGCCGTTCTTTAGCCCACGTATCTCCGACTGACATACATTCACGTAGGTATCACGCGCGCGTGCCTGTGTGTGTGTGTGTGTGTGTGTGTGTGTGAAGGGTAAGAGTGCACTCACGTGAAGCCTGGTGGCTTTTTACAAGCACAAACTCTCAGTCATGACCTTCGTGGACTCACACTCAGACTGCCATTGGTGTCACGTCCGCCTGCCCTTGGTGTGAACCTTTTAGTTTTGTATAAGAGGGTGACTAAATCGTGAATTAAAATGAAATAATCCTCATCCTTAATTAAATGATTGTTTCCTCTGAGTTCAACAACGTTGGCCGTTCTTTAGCCCACGTATCTCCGACTGACATACATTCACGTAGGTATCACGCGCGCGTGCCTGTGTGTGTGTGTGTGTGTGTGTGTGTGTGAAGGGTAAGAGTGCACTCACGTGAAGCCTGGTGGCTTTTTACAAGCACAAACTCTCAGTCATGACCTTCGTGGACTCACACTCAGACTGCCATTGGTGTCACGTCCGCCTGCCCTTGGTGTGAACCGAGGCCCGCACCACCCTTCCCTAGCCAGCAGGCCTGTGGGCGCCCTTGGGGTGGTGAGCCGCTCCCAGTGGGCCCGGAAGCACCCCCTCCTCCTCTATCCCCCTCAGCCCAGCACTTCTGGCTCATCTCAGGGAAAATCTTGCAAAGCAAGTCGCAAACTGAGGCGCGTTATAGAGGGCTCCTTTCTTCTCCCAAGGCCCCCTCTTTCCTGTGTCCATCCCTGTGAACACACCGGGTCCCCTCGAGGAAGCCTCCTCGGGCCGATCTGGTGTGACGGACTCCGGGTCTTGCGTGTGTTTCCCGTCGGTTAATCCCTAAGACACAACAGCCTCTGTGACGACGGAAGTCCAGCAGCGCTACACCGTTGGGAGCGTTGATGCGGCTGGGAGACAGAAGTGGGGTCTGCGAGGACTTCCCGGCCGGCCCTGTCGCTAATGCCGTCACACTGCGGTTCCCGCCTCCCACCTTCCTGAGCCAGCCGGGAAGCGGCTGGTCTAAATAAACGTCT